CATGGCCCACGAAAAGGTTTGGTGCGTGAAGAGGAACCCCTGCTATGCGAGTAAGTGCTTAATCAACCACTTCGAACAATTTAATTTATCTACAGTACCTACTTGTTATTTCAGCTATTTTCTGCACACATTTGAAGAATCATCATGGGAAACCGACGAAGCGCTTGCATTTGATCCGAGAACTGCTGAGAAACTGATGGCATTTAATGGTTGGGTGATGGGACTTGACCCAATGAAGAATTTTGCTCTCGCCGATTCTGAGGTATTTGTAAACTTTTCACTGATAATCTGATGAAATATAGGTGTATATCAGCAGATTATTGGTTTGCTGGGGTGATTCGGTGAAACTAAATTACGGCAATTGTCCTGGGGACAGCCCTTACTTATGGGAGTACATGCGAAAATATACGTGAGTTGAAGTTTACTTATTAGGCACAACTTATTTTAGGCAACAAGTCGCTAAAATTTTTCATGGAATTCGAATCGACAATGCTCACAGCACACCGATACATGTAGCCGAGGTAGTTTAATTAAAATTTCTAAAGTTATCTGTGCTTAGTATTTGCTTAATTCCGCACGTGCAGTTCGACCAGATTTGTATGTATTTGCTGAGCTTTTTACTGGAAGTGAAGACGCCGACAATCTTTTTGTTAATCGACTGGGGATTACTTCATTAATTCGAGGTTTTTTTGTCTCTTATTGGGCCCACGAAAAGGTTTGGTTTTATCTGTTTAAAGAGCAGTTTTAGAAGCCATGGCAGCTCCGGATTCCCACGAACAAGGCCGCCTTGTCTATCGTTATGGTGGGGACTGTGTTGGAGCGATGAGGCAAAAAGTTAAATACATTTTTTATCTGTTTAACTATGGATTTAGTCAATCCGACCGGCAGAACGATCTGTAGCACACGCAATGCTTTTAGACCAAAGTCACGACAATCCAACCCCAATATTGGTTTGCCCTTGATGTGGTTATTTAAAACGAAACTTTTTAGACTAGATCTATTTGGGATCTACTACCAACAGCTGCCATGGTATCAATGGCTTCGTGTGCTGTTGGTTCAACTCGCGGATACGATGAACTTGTTAGGCATGCGGTATGACACTCAAAGTATCGTGTATAGCCAGTAAACTTTAGATCCATGTGGTTTCCGAGACGCGACTTTATGCACAATGGGATCTCAGTGTGAATGAAAAACAAGGGTTGATACGTGGCCGGCGAGTGCTCAATCAGTTACACCAACGTTTGGCGTTAGAGGGATACACTCAGGTTTTTGAAAATGGCACTGTTTTTATTGCCAGCTTTAGGTTTTCGTTGATCAGATGAACACAGATGTTGTAGGAATTACGAGGCACAACCCGGAAACACATCAAACGGTAATATTGTCATTATTGGGCTCTTAATTTACAAGACCTTTAATAATTTTATGTTTTAGGTGGTTCTTGTCGCGCATACGGCTTTCAAAGGACCCAATGGCAGCCCTGGATTAAAATGGATTCCCCTTGGTGGTTGGTTTTTTACAGACTTTCCTTTCTATGGCGTGATTTTTATTTTGTTTTATTTAGGTTCTCTACAAGAAGTCTTATTCGAAATGACGTTTGAAAAAGTTGCAGAAGATTCTGAGCCAGGTTAAATTTTGAGAAATTGATTTTTTATCAAATAATTTTTTAGAAAGTAACACCGCCTTGATCGGGATCACAAATTTTTCCGTGAACGTCAAGGAAAATTTGCTGGTTGATGAGGCATCAACTTGCTGCCTTCACGATAAATTTCTTGAATTAAAAAATTTTTCATCCGGCACAATTCTCGCTTACAGGTTTTGCATTTTCCCCCAGTTTTTTTATCTTTTCACTCAGCGTTCAACTTGACAAAGAAGCGCAGCTTGCTATGGATCTAGCTCGCAAGTACAGTGAAGGGCGGGACAATGATCTAAATCAAGGTACCTAAGAGAAAATGAAAAAAGTGCCAACCTTATTTTAGAATTGGATAAAATTTTATCAACGCTATCCTATTCGGCATTCCACTTTTTGCTATTTTCGACTGCTGCAGAAGATCAGACCTTGATTGGACAAGGGGCATATGATGTTCCAAATCATGGATCTTTTGTATATTGTGGACTACAAGGTTTGGCTCACTCTTTTTTAACACAAATGAAAACTTAGGAATAATACCTCTGCTGAAAAGAATTCGGGAAAACAATGATCTTGGCCATCCGATATGTCAGGTTTAACTTGAATTTTGATAGAACTAAAACTTTTATTTTCAGAATTTGCGAGATGGAACTTGGTTGGCCGACTACATGGTCAATCGTCTACGCGAGAGGAGCGGAGAATTTAAAGAGGTAGTTTATAGACGTATGAATGCACTCTGTAACCAACTTTTTAGTTAGCTGAGACCTGCTCAAAAATTTTTGGACTTTTACCCGCTATTCCATATTATCTCCGGCCTTGCTATTTTGAGGCATTGGTTGGATATTTGTATACTGCGATCCGGAGAACATTGAATGATCGCTTTTTAGCGTAAGACATTATCGTTTCGTTAGGAGTTTATTTGTTTAGAACAAATCCGTTGATGAACTCGCATTTGGCAAAATCTCTTTTGTTATCAACGATTTCTTTTGTCGCCGACATTCCGGGAGCTCGACTGTCTCCTTTGGTTGATTCAGAAAAAGTGAGTTCGACTTTTTAATGCCGATTTTTGATACTATAAATAAATATTAATTTTAGAGGCAAATTCCTTCACTTGCTGCTGGACTACCACATTTCACGACTGGCATTTGGAGAAACTGGGGTCGAGACACATTCATTGCACTACCCGGCTGTCTGCTTGTTCCTGGGCGATTCGAAGAAGCGAAGTAAGCAACTCCAAGGTTTTTAAATTATTGCACGCCTAGAAACATCATTCTTTCATACGCTGGCTCAATGAGACATGGATTAATCCCTAATTTACTTGCAGAAGGAAAGGGTTTGAGAATTTATTGTCACATCTTACCTACTATTCATTTCATTTAGGCGCTCGTTACAACTGCAGAGATGCTACATGGTTTTGGCTGTACGCAATTGTTCGCTATGCACATATGGCCCCAGATGGTGAAGCGATTTTAAAAGAATCTGTTTTGAGAATCTTTTCCACTGATGATGCTGAATTTATGGTTGACTCGAGGGTAGATTGTATCGTTTTAAAAACAAACAATAAAAATTTAGGTTGAATCTCTTGCGGAGACAGTTACTGAGGCTTTGCAACGACACTTCTCGGGCATTGCGTATCGTGAACGTAATGCTGGCACAGCAATTGACGAACATATGAAAGATGAAGGTTTGGAGATTTGCTATACTGTTAAGCCTTTGGGTCAGGTTTTAACGTTCGAGTATGGGTGAATCGCGACAATGGATTTATCTATGGAGGTAACCAGTGGAATTGTGGCACATGGATGGACAAAATGGGCAGCTCTGATAAAGTAAGTATGCAACCCACCTGATCACTGACTCATGTTAATTTTTTCAGGCTGGGAATAGAGGGCACCCGGCAACGCCAAGAGATGGAGCAGCAGTAGAAATCCAAGTGAATTTTTACTAATTCAACGCTATTTTAAAAGCTCTTAAATTCAGGGTCTAGCTGTGGCCGTGCTTAATCAAATGGAAACTTGGGCCCAATCCAGAAAAATCGCTACTTTAGGAGTCTCTGATGGTAAGCTGTCGCCAAAATTGTCGCCAAAAATAAAACCTGTCTAGGTGAATCGAAATGGAGTTGGGGAGAATGGAGTAAACGCATAACGTCGAATTTCCGTAAATGTTTCTACATCGAAGAAAACTGCGCTGACAAATTTGTGAACAAAAAAGGCAAAAATTTTTGAATGAGTTGAATACCTAAGCCAATGTTTAGGTATTATCAAAGACACTTTTGAATCCTCACAGGGGTATACCGACTATCAATTGAGACCGAACGCTTGCATTGCTGTTGCAATTGTAAGTGCTAATGTGGAGTTTTACAACTCAAATTTTAGGCGCCCGAATTGTTACCAAATGAATTGAGCTGGAATGCTTTGGAAATGACAAAACAGCACTTATTGGGACCATTGGGAATTAAAACTTTAGATTCGAGGTTTGTTTTAACAGACTTTAAAAATAAATCAGAATTTATTTCTAGTGATTGGGCATATAACGGCTGTTATAATAATGACGATGATGGCTCAGATCGCAAGACCGCAAAAGGATGGAACTATCATCAAGGACCTGTTAGTTTAGTAAATCTCAAAAATTTCCAAGTGATTGTTTAGGAATGGCTTTGGGTAGCTGGATATTACTTAAAGGCAAAAACTGTTATTGGCTCTAAAATGGGTGCTGATAAATGGAATGCTGCAAAGAAAGAGGTAAAATAATTGCAAAACTGCTACCTAGGTCCAACTTAGGTTGAAACACATTTGGGGCGATGTCAAGAGCACATTGACTGTTCGACATGGAGCTCACTTCCTGAGCTGACACAGGTAGGCTGTTACTTGAAACTTTTCAAAAAGCTAACTCATAGGCAAATGGCGAACATTGTCACGGAAGTTGCCCAGCTCAAGCGTGGAGCGTTGGCGTTATACTCGAAGCCTATGTGGATTTGATCAACTTGCAATCCAAAATGTGAATGTGACCATAGAAATGTGAATTTTTTTGTGTAAATTAGATCAAGTCATTTGTGGTGCCAATTTAAAAAAATGTGTAGACAATAAAATGTAACGTAGCTGAACATTAGGAATAACACTGTCAAACAACTCGCTTAAATAAAGTGAAAAACTATAACAAGACCGGTATTTCAAAATGATGTAAACAAAACCAATCAAAAATATATACAATCAGTTGAACAACGTCAAAAATCGATTGGAGATCTTTAGAGGTAAGTTTGGCAAAAGAAGATAAAATCTTTTCACAAACATTTAAGTAATTCAGAATCGTGAAAGCGTCGATCTGAAGAAAAAATATTAACTATTTCAAAGACATCCAAAGTTTACCCACCTTATTATTGATTTGCTTGTTCACATGCATCAATCCAATCCGAATACACATCAACAGGCTCCGACAGATAGTTAATCTTTGTCTAAACTTTCATTACAGTTAGCGGTATAGATGAAAACTACCTGAAAATCTTCCAGACAAACGCGGCATTTAATAAATCCAACCATTCGATCGCGATCCCTGTTTTCAAAATTTGATAAAGCGTTAAAGCAAAAGGTAAAATTACATTTTCACTTCGCACACTTTCTCATGATTGCAAAATGGACAATTGAACTGTGTGTCGAGTGGAACAATTATCTTCGCTTTTGGTGGCGGCTTTCGCGATGACTTTTTCTTGCCCATTTTTTGTCAAATCTAAAGTTGCACTAAAGTCAAATCGGCGGTGGCTACTTTGCGCAACTCGCCATAACTTTCTTCGAAGTCTACCAATCTTTATGATTTTTGTGTCATTTTGTTACACTTGTTGAGATCTACAAAATGACACAAAAATCATAAAGATTGGCTTACTTAGAAGATGGGAAGTTATGGGAAGTTGTGCAAAAAATTTGGCGCAAATTAGCCGCCCCCATCAACGGTATCGAGAGTACAGTAAGAAAACAAGAAACAGAACAAAAATACAGTAAGTTAACAAACAGCGGAGGCCGCATCCGCGCGAAATAAGGCAAAAAACGTTCTCTATCAGAATTTCACGTTTGAATATCCATTCGACGCAGAAAATTGTGCTGAATCGAATGGTGAAGAAATTATCGAAATCCGTCTGACTCGATTTTTTAAAATCGCCTTTTATCGAAAAAAACCGCACTTTTACAACCAACTCGCTCGCCGCGACCAACCTTCGGTGGCTCGTTCTCAGCGTGGTCGAAAGATTGCGAAAGATTGACCAAAAAGGCATCAAGTCTTCGCAGAGTTGATCAATTGTTATTTTTTTGGTATCAAAATGATCTTTGCACAAGTCCACACAAAAGTTATCGGTTTTGAGGGCACAATCTTTCGACCACGCTGAGAACGAGCCACCGAAGGTTGGTCGCGGCGAGCGAGTTGGTTGTAAAAGTGCGGTTTTTTTCGATAAAAGGCGATTTTAAAAAATCGAGTCAGACGGATTTCGATAATTTCTTCACCATTCGATTCAGCACAATTTTCTGCGTCGAATGGATATTCAAATGTGGAATTCTGATAGAGAACACCATTTCGCGCGGATGTGGAAGCCGTAATACAGTAAGTTACGGAGTTTTTTTTTCCATCATAGGTATTTTTAATTTTTTCGTGAACGTAGCTCTAGAAAATTTCTAACGGAAAAAATAAAGCAACAATATCGAATTGGCGTTGAAATTTTGCGCTCCACTCTCGAAATTCGACCAAACCATGATGAACAAACTACGGCCTACGGCTCTTTTGTCTCTGTCTCACATTGATCGTTACCTACAACTTGACAATACTTTTGACATGTTTGCCGCGTAGGGTTGCGCTCGGATTTCGTATTTAGAAAGCATCTACTCCCTTGATCGTTTGATTTGCGTTCTCTTTGTGTTTTCATTCTATGAATTCAGATAGTGCATAATGTTGACGTTTCTAGGTACAAAATGTCTGCCACGTTGTCGGCTGAGGATATTTACGTACGCTACTATGTTGGACACAAAGGTATTGCTTTTCACTATTCTAGCTATTCTGATTTTGTTTTTAGGAAAGTTTGGCCACGAGTTTCTCGAATTCGAATTCCGTCCTGATGGCCAACTCCGCTATGCGAACAACTCGAATTACAAAAATGACACATGCATCCGGAAACAAGTAAGTAAAGATTCGATTTTACGAAATTTTCTGCTTACAAATTTAGCAAATTCATGTTAGTGATTATGCAAAGTTGTTTTAGGCCTATGTGAGTCCACAGGTTTTGAATGAATTGAAGCGAATTGTCGAGGATTCAGAAATCATGCAGGTAATCTTTTATTTGTTTTGAATAAATCTACGTTTTTTTATAGGAGGATGACGGTCAATGGCCTGAACCTGATAAAATTGGACGCCAAGAACTCGAGATCCTCATCAACAACGAACACATTTCCTTCACCACTGGAAAAATCGGATCGTTGGCTGATGTCAACAACAGCAAGGTTCGCCCAATGTTTAAGGTGAAAAAGGCATTTAATTTTTTTAGGATCCAGATGGTCTTCGCTCTTTTTACTACCTCGTCCAAGACTTGAAGTGCCTTGTCTTCTCACTTATCGGACTCCATTTCAAGATCAAGCCAATTCAGTAAATTGCTCTTTGTTAACGTTTATTGTTGAAATTTCGATGTTTACATTGTTCATTTATTTTTCACATTTTTGGCTGTAGTTTTGCTAAAAATTCTTCAAATTGTCTTCTCTAAAAGCAAAGCAAGATCTCTGTTGAATAAATTATTTTTGATAAATCTCATGGTTGATTGAAAGTTGCAGACTTACACTTATTTTAAACGTTAATGATTTTTTTTAATGTAGGCAGTCGAAATGGCATCCCGTTAAAGGGCTCTTTACATAGTTCTGTCGAATGCTTATTGTTGCATGTAAAAAGCTTATTTTCAGATGGCCTCCAGTTTTGATTCTTCCCTCAATCTTGGTGCCGCTCCGCAGCAATCTCAAGGTTTCAGCTTTCGACTTTTCAGGTTAGTTTTTTACATTGTTCATAGAAAAATTGATCGTTTTTGATGTGGCTAGTAGCAATTGACTATCTTTAGATATCCGACTGTGGCAATTGCACATGTCGCATTTCGTTCAGCGGCTCTATTTTTCTACGTGTTTTGTACACAGCTCACTTCGTCATTCATCGTTCAATTCTTAATTTTGGTTAGATTTTTCAAACTTATATGTGATAAACTTGTCATTAGCTGTTGTTAAAGCGTTATTTAGTTAACCTTGCTTTCTATGGACTTTTGGACGGTGAAAAATGTCACGGGTCGTTTGATGGTTGGATTGCGTTGGTGGAATTTCGTCGACAGCGAAGGAAAGAATCATTGGAAATACGAAAGCAGCAAGGTTCATCACTTCTAATAAATCGGCTATAACCTAAGTTTTAGGACCCTTCAAAGTTTCCGGCACTCGATAGAAACTTCTTCTGGCTGGCTCTAGTGGCAGCTCCATTAGCATGGTCATTCTTTGTCGCCCTTGCGTTCATGTTCTTACACTGGTAACAATTATTATACTTCTGAGGATTTTGGAACTGGATTTTATTCTAAATTTAGGCGCTAAATTATTCGTTTTTCTTTGTAGATTTTTTCCAATTTAGGCAGTGGGCTGTGGTGGCATTGCTTGGATTCGTAATGACTTCTGCAAATTTGTATGGATATTTGCGCTGCCGTTGGGCTGATACAAATCAATTTACCAGCGCTGTTAGCAAATGGGCTTTTTTGAATGTAAGTATCAAGTTTTTAAAAACGAATAATCCTTAATTTAGATGCTACGCCGTCAAACCGCTCCTTCTCAAACTCAATCCACTCAGTTGAATGTATAGCTACAGTTTGTAACTCATAACCTGTTCCACTCATTTTTGTATATTTCTCATGCTCCACTTGTGTAGCTCCTTTCGTCATAATGTTTCTGATCAATTTCTACTGGTTTCTGTGGTTGTTTCTGTGATATTTTTCTTGGCTTTATTCTACCCGCATTGTTTTACCGACGTAAACAAGCATTTGCTGAAATAAATTTTGAAAGAGGTGCCTGGGGAAAGTACACTATTGTTTAATCCACAACAAATTACTTTATAGAAAACAAACAAAACTTTGTGGGGCCGAAGCACGCTTTAGTGTTAACTAATACTTGCCTAATTTAGTACTTAGGAAGCACGATGATAGTTGAAAAGCCGATACAAGAGCCCACGAATAGCAGACTCACCCCGTCTGGTTCACAAAACAATCTTGGTTTTTCGCGTGCATCCTCTTCAGGTAACTTTACGACAAACTTGCAAGCTATTGCTGATACTTGCACTGAAATGATGCATGGTTTTTGTTTTTAGATTCGTCTTCTAACTCGCCTTCTAGAGAAATCGTCGATATCAACTCGCTCATTAATCCTTCGACAAGGTTTAAAGTTTTACAAGTGTATCAATTGAAAACCTATGTAGGTATGCGTTTTGCCAATTGGCAGCAACTGTGTTGAAACTCGATTTTTTGGATCAAGATGATTCCACGTCAATGTACAAATTTTTCAGCAGCAACTTCATAATGTATTTAGTTTATATTGTAAACATGTTTTACAAGTTGTTTTGGAATATCTGGCAATTCCTGTGAAGTCCCGAAAAATTTTCACATCTTATTTGGAGGTTTGTTCTTTGAAAATCTGGGTTTATTTTTTAATTTAGGAAGATGTCGACTTTCCAGATGTGGCCACGCTAATAATTTCGATTAAAGAGGATGTGGTAGTGGTTAAAAGAGGAACAAATTTGTTTTTGTCATACCTTCTCTATCAATTTGTTGCCACAAGTTTTTAAATTTCTAAAATTTTGGTTAATTTTAACTTCTAGGTCATTACGACAGCCGCACCCGTGTTTTGTTGCGACACCTATCCACCTTATTGGCCGTTGTATGGGAAGAATTTGAAGAAGTGAGATTGTTTTAATTGAGCTTTATTGTTTTTGGTTGTAGATTGAGAACTCTTTGGTTTCGCTCATGCTTGATGAATTTGTGGAAAGCGAGTAAGTATTTATAGTTTACCCAGAATTATCTAATTTATATTTTCAATTTATAGCAATGAGCTGGTCAAAGATGGGTAGGTTATTGTAGTGTGGTCCCCAATAAATATCCTTAAATTGATATTAGTATATAGTTGTGGGTTCAGTGAACTTATTTGTATTGTCTAATAAGCAAATCTTTTATTTTAGGCAGTCGATTAAGGCACGAGAAAAGATAGCAAAAAGCAAGAAACTCAAACGGTATCTAATGATTGGAGCTGCTGGCGGAGTCGGTGGAGTGCTTATAGGTGTGTTGAAATTGATATGCTAGAATTGTTTTATTTGGAGTTTGGAAGTCTTTAACATGTTTTAGGTCTAACTGGTGGTCTAGCTGCTCCTCTTGTTGCCATCGGCGCGGGAGCAGTTCTTGGTATTTATATTAATATATACTTAATATGGCTTTTATATTAATATACTAGCGCATGGAGCTGTTTAGGAGGAGCAGCAACAGCTGCAATTGGAACGACCGTTGGGGCGGCAATTTTGGGGACAACTTTTGGAGTCGCAGGCGCTGGTCTAGCAGGATATAAAGTAGCAAAATTTGTTTGACTAAAACCATTTAAATTAGATGAAGAAACGGGTTGGAGCTATTGAAGAGTTTTCCATTGAACCACTTACAAACGGTCACGCGTTGAACTGTGTCTTGG